CAACGAATAGTGGGATTGACCGTCACTTTATAACGCCCTCACGGCTGAAAGGACGAGCATGTTTGGTGGGACGGGGATTCGAACCCGCGACCCGCAGATTGCGAATCGAGTAATATATTGGTACAATCTCGTTTTACATCTACGGTTAGCATCAAGTTCTCCTGATGCAAAAGTGTTTCGATGTCATATGGAATGAAAAACTAAAACCAGTATGGCGGAATCTAAAACTCATGCAAGTGACTAAACTTCGTAAAAGCAGGTTCAGAGCCTAGACTGTGGGCAAACTGCTGCTCAAACTTCCTAGTCACACTTGCAAGTCTGTATTTATTAGTTTCTTTCTTTTTCTAGAGTTCGTGACGATTTTGACTTCATCAAAGTGAAATTTGTCCTAAAATCACATCTGCACGTGTTGGAAATATTTTGAAGAACTATGCAAACAACTATTTTCATTATGTGATCACAACTTTTGCTGCGAGTGGACGTCGTTCAAAAGATAAAAATATTTTCACCCAGGATCCTCTTGTGATATTCTAGCCATTTTTGAGCCCGGTGATTGTTCTACTTTTGGAATTCACTTATAGACACAAATACCAGTGCTTGTGAGAAATAAATAATTTTTAAATAATTTAGTGTTTTTACTAAAATAAAGTGAATTTAAAAAATACAGTTTAATTAAACAATCACCATATTTACATTTGGATGTTTGGCAATTTGTAATATTCATCATCCGGGTGCTTTTAGGAAAGTCTTAAATTAGTGAAACTTATGGTTCGGTGCTGCTTTCTCAACAATTCATGTGTCAAATGTTTTTGTTACTGAAGAACAATAAAGATTATTGAATTTTAAAAAATGCCACCAGAGTATCAACACAATCAAAACGACAAGAAACTTCAGACACAAATAACTGGTTTTAGATTTCACGCAGGACAACACTCTTTGTTATAATAACACTTTAGATAGTGCGTTTAGGACATGTATCAGCAACCCTTCAAAGAACTTCTTTTTGTTTTTTTTTTTAAGATCAAAACATTTCATGAACCGCAACGTGAATTAGGCCTAACGTTATGTTACACTTTAAAACGCCTAATGAGGTCTTGGCACATCTGCCTACATTTCACATTTAAATTCAAATTGGTTGTGTTGACAATAAAGGCTTTGTAATTTGAATGTAAAATAGAAGGGGGTGTGTGAAATGCAACTGTATCCTGTATCTTTTATTATAAATAAATAAAAAAAGCGTTACAAGAAATAAAGCAAATCTGATACTATCATTTCATCTGTATGTCGGATTGAGTCTTTTTTTAAATTATGACAAATGAGTCACATATAATTACGCAACTAGCCGTATGCGGCAGGTGTCCTCGCGAACCACGGGTTGCCGACTCCTGGTTAAGGAAATACAGAGCGCAGCATACTTTCAAAGCTTAGATAAAATCAATGAGCTGACTGCAAATACATACGATACAATACAGATTAAAAAAAGTACATCCAATCGAAATCTACTTGCATTACGTATTTATACAACGACCCCTACTGATTCAACGGTAAGTTTGAAAGTATTCAAGACAAAATAAAAATGTTTCTACGCGCCATTCACCATCTTGATTTATTGTGGTTCCCACGACAGATTAGCATTATCAAGGCTGTTTGTTCTTCCCCGAAACGAAACATGTCAAGTGCCTGTAGAGAGTTTTCCTGACTGTTTAAAAAAATTTGACTGAAGCAAATTCTGAAATTGTTTGGAACTTTGTATTTAACTAAAAATAAATTTACATCCAAAGAAAAAAATCTTGGAAAACTGTCACTGTGTTAATAAGTGGTTTCTACTGCTAAGTGAGAAAGCTAAACAGGTGAATCAGTTATGAACCATGATTTTGTTGTGTGTGTGTGTGTGTTTTGGGGGTACACAGTAATATGGTTTGTTAGTACACGCAAGACTTCGCCAATTTATAACAGAAACTATTCTGACTGCAGGGATCAAACCCTAACTTTTTGCATTTTATAAACACTCATGCTTATCAATGAGTTAGTATTGTTG